CTTCCTCGCTGATGCTTGTCAATGAAGGAGAACACGTCTGTCGAAAAACTTTTAATGAGATGATGCATAAGCTACCGTCAATATGGCGATGCTATATGCAAATACCGGAGTGTTCTTAAAAGGAAGAAAGTCTTCTAGTATTTGATGTACCTAACTGTGTATTTACTACATTCAGAAAAACACATTGTGAGACTTTCTGACATTTCAATATTGCAGTTTATGTGAATGAAAAGAATGATAGAAGTTACTATACAGTGCAACATTGACTTTTGATTATGATGCAAAATGCCAACTTCAGATTCTATTATGGAGAGAAAAGTCACAGATGCAGGCATTAAATTTCTCATGCCAGAAGGCATTGTCTATTTTATATCCACTAATGTGCCAGATTGGGCAAAATCTGTTTCAGCAATTTAAACTGTGCAAGGTAGAAAATACTGCAGATCTCTTTGTAAAAACACAGTTTCTTCTACTGCAATGAACTATAAAACTTTTGTTTGACAGAAAAATGACTATACTTGTGAGTATGTTTTAAATCGCTATACTTTAAAGCAACAATGGCACAGAATGTTTTGAAATATTTTCCCCACTCTAAAATTATGGCATTAAATCACAGTGAAGCACCTGCACAGAATTTAAAAATTAATATTTTCTTACAGTATTTGTAATAATATATTAAGTATATACATATTTGCATTCCACAGTGCTTCTGATTGCTAATGTCCTTTCCAGAGAGATGCCTCAACCATCAGAACCATATGCTTGCAAATTAAAGAAATAATTTTTCTGTGTCAACATGAGTGAGAAGTCTGTGCTCCTGTCATTAGTACTTTCTAGTCTACTACACAAATATAATTCACCTCCCCCAAGGCATCTTTTACTTGATTTTACTCAGAATGCTCTGTGTTTCTTTTAACAATGCTTTAAAAGAATTATTAAGAGGTGTACCTTTATATCAAGCACAGAATTCTGTATGTTAAGCACTGGAAAAATCCCTCATTATTGCTGAAAGAGACTTTATTATCTATACTGCATTCACAGTTAAGCTCAGCCCTTCACTTGGAGTTTAGCTGTTTTCACAAGTCCTACACAACTGCTCAGCTAAACCCAAACCCCATACTCTGTCAATACATACAAGGTATCACTTTACCTTGTCCAACATGGTAGGAGAACACATAGAACGGCCAATCGTCAACTACAGACAACAGCATTGTACACCCACTCGTTTCTGAAGTAAACACCAGTGGGGCAACACAAGCTCGCAAAACTTCGTATGACTCTACACTGCCTAGTAACTCCCACTCTTGGCAGACAAAGCAAGCAGGTAATGTAAGTATGCCAAGAAATGTTAAACTTAGGAGGAGCTGGACACAATGTTCAACTGATAAAAATATGGTTATCTTTTAAATACAGGCATGATGTTTAAACCATGAACTGTGATTTATAACTCTTGCTGTTGTAGAATCTGAAATTAAGTTACTATAAAATACGTGGCTAATGCTCCTCCTCTTAATTTTGTGTGTTACGTATTTCTTTTTTTATGATTTCTAGGAGGCTTGACACTCAGAGGAGTTTCAAGTTAAAAGAAATACATATCTTTTCTAAGGAATTCCAAACTATACTTTTTACAACATGACTTTGTCTAGAAATCCCAGACTTGTTATCTGACTTCAGTAAGGTACCTCTAAGTTTTGACTGAACCTGCAGAAAGAGATAGGAATTTGTCAAGTATTTAATAAAATCACATCTTATAAGATAGTAAGAACAAATACCATGAAAGGCAGCAACTGGAATAACAAGTGAACAAGGAAGAAATTTGAAAAAAGGGCTTTGCATAGTTTCAACAGCAGGGGAACAAGAGGAAGATGCTGCAGACTGGAGGAAGGTAAGCGAATATCACTTCCATCAAAGAGTCCACTTTGTCACAATCTTATTTTTTAATTGGTTTTCCTTTCATACAGTCTGCTTCAAGTAAGAAGGAATACTTTTCCACTAATCTCTTGATACTTAATCAGTCTGACCTTTGCTTATACTTTCCAGAATAAAACTGTTTCCTAATTTATTTTTACTTTTCATAAACCTCTAGGTTGATCTTCCATCTTTAAAAAGATCACATATTTTATTATACCTAATATCAGATTATTGAAGATTTTAGTACATGCATGGGCAGTTCATCTAATCCCATTGACCTTTTCATATTAAAATCCAGTTTTATGTTTTATCTGCTATTTGTTAAAAAAAAATAAATCATCCATTGTTCAGAAGCTGGTTCTTTATTCTTATATGAAAATTAAAGCAAAACAAGACTTTATTTTTATTTATATGGAACTGAGAAAATGCACCCAAGATTTAAAAGAAGCTGAACATGAAGTGTCTTGTATTTGGAATTTTATGCACAGTTCAAACTACGAGGCTGCCTTCTGCCTAAAAATTAAGAAGCATACATCTCAAGTAATCAGACTGTCACCTGTTTAGCTCACATTTCCTTATTTAAAATTCAGACAGAGATAATATTTGCTGGTAGATTTCCTTCTATCTGATGTATAACTAACTGATGGTAATGCCCTCATGTCTGTAGCCAATTTATTCCAAAAGAAGCCTCCTACAGGAAAAATAAACCTAACTGTCCATCCCTGAAACCACTGGCTTATAAAAAACCAAACAATAAATAGGAAGTGAAAGTCTTCTCTTCCACACAAAGCATGTTAACTTCCTACACAGAAAAAGTGACCACGTGACAGAGCAGATGAACATTACAGTTAAACAAAAACCAAAAAGTACCATGGGGAACAATTGAAGCAAGTTGCACAAATCACATTTATTCTGCCAAAAATCTGCTTTGTTACAGAAAGCAAAGAAGGACTAGAAGGGAAGTTTTGGTCATTAAAAATGAACAGTAATTTATGCTTCTGATAAGAAGTCAGAGCTGTTTATAGGAAACATAATAAGCTTTTATGTTACAATATGAAACAAATTTAACTGCAATAAAATCTTTTTCATACATATTCTAAGCATTAGGATTATTAGTGACTTTGCTGCCATTAATATGCTTTCTCTCTTTTGGATGCTATAGCTTAACTAAACTGTACTAACTCTTTTGGTTTAATCCCTCAAGACAACTTACAGAACATCAGAGGCTTTGCATCAAACTATAAAAATCTCAAACCTGCAGGGTAAAGTGTTAGCCACAGGAGAAAATTAATAAAAGATCATCAAATGTGCCTGGTAAACCATAAGGCTTTGTAAAGAATTTAACAAGAGATGCAAGAAGAAAAAGATTAAACTTAAAAAAAAAAAAAAGAATATAACAACAACAAAACACCTCCAGAAAAGAATTATCAAGTGATAGAAAACATTTCTGGAATTTAAACAAGATGACAGACTGCTATTTGCATAAATAAAATTAATCACTATGTTACTCTATCATAGATCCTTGTAAACACACTGTCCAGACCAGTGACATTTACTGGGTAAGGTTGGCAGAGAAAAGAAAAACAAAACCAAAACAAATCAGTTTAAGGAAGTTATCTGACTCCATATCAGAAGCTGGGAACAAACAACACTGACAGCAAACAGCAAAATTTATAGTAACTGTAAAAATTCTTTGTGTAATAGCCATAGTAGTGCTCAGATATAAGTAGCCAGCTGTACACTGCTTAAGCATGCACCTTTATTTATATATATGGTGTGTGTGTATATATATTTTATACATATGGTACATTCAAGATGGTAATGTACAAGTTCTCTCTTCAGTCTCTATACTGCCTTCAAACACAATACCATCCCCAACCCTACATAGGCAGATCAGTTCCATTTTGTCAACAGGCATTCACGCCAATGAAGTATTCATTATCTAAGAGGAAAGTGAAGCACGGAGACATTTCATCAATACAAATAAAATTCAGTTTATATGCAGAAAAAAAACCCATGGAAAGGTACTTGCAAAGTTTGAGAAATGGCAAAAAAGTTGTACGACAAAGACAATTCACATAAGTTTGTGAATAAGTCTGAGATGAAACAATAGTAAAGTTAGGTTGATTGATGAACTATTCCCCAAGTCCTTGGGGAAATAAGAGTTCTGCCCTCATTAGGCTGAAGCTTAAGATAGAAGATGACAAACTGAAAAAAAATGATGGCCTAATTAAAAAAGTATCTAACAGCTAACCACTGAACTGAAGACAGACACTGACTGATAACACTGAAAAAAAGGAGATAACAATTTGCAAGCGAAAAACTGGATAGAGCTAGCAGAAACTTGTATCCAACTTCTTTTCCCCCTCTTTTTCCCTTCATATTCTTGTGGTTTCGAAAGTATTTATGGTCTGATGATTAGTAACGCCCAAAATAAAACAACTTGCGTTATCTTCATCAACCACTATGACATAGCCTTTGCTCTCCATAGCTAACAAGGTCATCAAGAAGCACAGCGCATCTCACATTAAAAGAAATCCAGAAACAAATGAATAAAGTTTTCTATCAGATTCACCAGGCTATACTGTTGACTGACCAAGAATCAAATCAGTATTAATCATTGATTGTACAGTATAATTAAACTGTATATTTCATATACAGTCTGGCAACTTTAGAAACCAATTTGTTTTTCTCCATTCAGGTGTTAAATCAAGTGTTAAAATGAGAAACATACTGTGCATGTACACACACACGTGAGTGTTCACTTTCAAGCAACAAGACTTCAAAGACTCAGTGGTAACTAGACATCATCATTATACTGCTTATTCAACTTCTGATATGTGATTTTGAAAGTACTTCACTGAAATATGCTGTATTATTTCCAAAACTTACTGCAGAAAGAAGTTACTTGATTACTGTTTTTCCCCTCCTTACTTTTTGTCAGGTCAATAAATACCGGAAAAGCAAAATCCACGTGGATTATCAATGCTTACAGGTTACATAATCCTAGAATCTAAAATGAAATGTTGGAAGTATTTTATGTCACAGTAAACAGCTATTACCTTTAGGTGTTTCATCTATTTGCTCACCTTTACTTGCACTCTCAACGTGCTGCAGTTCATCTGGAAATTTTAAGATGTCCCGGTAATTCTCCTCACAGATTTCTGCTAGAAAATGCAATAGGGTTGTTTTCTGATCTGATGATTTAGTATCTCGTATCTAAAAAGTGAACACAGGAGAAAACAAAAAAAACCAAAACTTTTAAGTAAAAATGTTTAAATAAAGGGAACATTGCAGATGTCAACTCATTAACAAAAAGTTACTTACACTGGCTGCCTGCAAAGAAAACAAATTATTTAAAAAATTAAATTTCTGCAACGCTTTATAACTTCAGATTACAAAGGGAATCTATCCCTATGCTATATTTTTAAAGAATAATTAGTATGCTCAGAACAAAACCTGAAGACAGTCCATAAGGTTCTGAGATTTTTGCAACAGCAGTTCAAAATGCTTGCTGTGATAAAAAAAAAAATAAATAGCTGTGAACAGAGATTAAACAGAACAGAATTTAGTTGATTCCTTCAATGCCCCCCTCTGCCAGATTTCCAAAGGAACCCCTCTGACATCCAGCACAGCTGGACAGCATGCTAAAAGTCAGAATTTGCTCTTTTACCAGTCAAGTTAAAGAAACTCCTGGTTGTAAACCCACAATTTTTTACTGAAGCAAAACCTAAAACATGCTGCTTTATCCTGAAGCCTTTCAGACAAATTCTATACAGAGATATGAAATAAATGCACCCCGCCTTACTGGAATACAAAATGACAATGGAAAAGCAAAAGTAATCCTAACTGCCAGTAAAAGAAAACTAATACATCCTGGTTTATTTCTTAAAAGCTGCACAAAAATTGTGCACAGTGTGAAGAAATAGATAATTGCGTATTTAGTGCTCTGAAATAAACCAGCCCTCTTGAAGGCGAGAAGATCCTCTGTTGTCCATTAACCTAAGTGCATTAACTGCTAGAATCAGTTTATTATTAAAAAAAAAAAAAATCTGAAATAATTGTTAAAATACAAGGCTTGTGGCAAATTTCCAAGTGAACATGAATACTTGTGGCTAAATCCCATGGCAGAGTGCATGGCAAAGGAACATCATGAACTTAACAGAAGGAGAAAATTTAGTTTCTCCATTTCTATGCAGATATAAAGAATGAGCATATGAGTTGAAGATTTAGTGGAAGTAGAGATTACCCCTTATTTACAGAGGCAACAGAGAGAGTAGGTGTGTGCAAGAGTCTGAGATGAGTGCACTTCAGTTTTTATAGAGAATTAGTATTACAAGTGTATCTACAACTTTTTTAAACTGCATTTTACTAAATCATCTAGTACAGTTCTTATACAGAAGTAAGCTACAACATACACAACAAATGAAATCAAGGATTTATTTAAGAAGAATACATAAATGTGTGTGCAAAATCTCCTATTTGTTTTCTCATTCTCTAAATCACTAGAAGTTCTAATTCTATAATCCTCATGACAGGCTTGCCATCGATGTTCAATTTAATACAGGCCTTTCAGCTTTAAGGATTACCCTGTTAAGAATAAATGAGTGTGGTCGAAAAACAGGCTTTTAAAAATATAAGGTATTTAGGCAATTAAGAATGCAATTTAATTCATACCGATTCGGTGATTAAAGACTAAACAATGCTCAGTAATGGTATGCAGTTAAAAGGTTTTAATGCCTTACGTACATAGAAGTTTTTCCAACTTGAAAAAAACCCATAGATTTAGTGGCTAAACATCTGCATGGTAAAAAGAAATTGCATTTCAATTTGTCTGTGAACAAGAACTGTGGGATTTGCAGTCTTTGAGCTCTCTGACATCATCAAGTGGATAAAGCTTCCCCCTGCCCCCCCCCCAAAATGGACAAAATTATTTTGCCTTCAGATTATAACAGAAACACGTTTTGTCACCAACAGTAACATCGTATTAACAAGAGTTAATATTAGCACCTGCTGGGTTGTCTAAGACCTGTAGAAAACAGTCATCAGATTTTAACCATCTGTGTCAAATTCACTTCTTTGGCCCAATCAAGAAACACATCTCAACTACATTCATCCCCATTTTCAATAGCTAAGAGACACAATGGGTAACATGTGGCTCTGGTCTTTAGAATCAATATATCTACTTTAAAAATCAAGTTCTAAGCATACTAATATAATGAGAAGATAAGGAAAATAGGTGGGTTTTGAATGTAGTTAGGCAGATATTATTTAAATATAAAAATAGAAATGGAAGACAGGAACTGGAACGCTAATAGCAGCATGGCTGTGTCTTTACATTCTCTGTATTCACAGACTATAATCGTATTGAGGGTAAATTTTTTTGTCTCCTCTCTCTTTATTCTTGGGCACATTTTAACAGTTTTTATTTTAAGGGAAAGACTTTTATGTGTATTTTGAATTAAAAAGTCGTATTTTAAGAAAGTGAAATTTGTTTTTCTTGTATCCAGTTAAATGCAAAGTCAACTTTGTGGTACTATTATTTTCCTTCAGCATAAAGCTAAACTGTCCTTTGATATGCAAGAGTTCTGGAACATGGCAAATAAAATACACTTAGGGCCTCCGTTGCATTAAAATGTTAATAAACAGAAAATCAAGACTAAGTATCTAGTTTCTCATCAAAAGAGTACTATTTAAAAAAACAACTTGGGCATTGACTTCTCAACTAAAGAAATGTCTTACTCAGGTTAGCAGAAAGAGCAAAACATTAAAAAAAAATCATTATTTTTTCCCCTTTCTTTTCATTCCTTGCACTTTTACTCATTACTTTCACAGCTGATAACTGAAACTGATTCACAGTAAATAGTGATTAGAACTTTTTTTTTTTTTAAAATATGGTGTCTCTTAAATACATTTTAACAGACAATTCAATCAGAAACATACACTTCAATAAAATATTCTATGGGCTCTAAATTCCAAGTGATATTATGGGTTTCTATAGGAGCACAAAAGGAAAAGTGACATCCATTTCACAGTCTAATTAAGCGTTCCAGCCTCACAACTGCACGTATGCACAGGCATAGGCCAGCGCAAAACAACAGGTGGACTGTGCAAAGGGTGACATCTTTAGAAGTAGCCAGAATTTCCTTGCTAGTGGCCGAGATATGTTAAACAAAAAACAAAACCACATAAAATGGATTTTAAAGGATTTTGCCTATTATATACTGAACACAAGTTTGTGAATCCTAAAAATCCCGGTCTTTCAAGTGTTTTTTGTGTTATGTCCTCTGTTATTTTCATCCCTTTGAATCTCAGAGCATTAGCATATTAGAGAAATCATACTAGTTCCCTGAGACTTGGTAAATGAACAAAGCTCACCAACAGTAATAGAATCACCATTTGGAATACATATAATTGCTTTACTTCTACATCTTTAGTAGTGTTAACACACTGGAACATGAAAGCTTTTATAGAGCAGTGCCTGTATATATGGCATTTGCAAAACATTAACAATGCATGTCACTGACAGTTTTCAAATTCTATTGATTTTTACGGAAGACACTGACACTGCAGTGTTAACATTTTTAAATACAGGTTTTGATTTTATGGCCTTTCTTTATCTGAGAGAAAGAATATGGGAATAACACATTTAGTAAAAACAGACCCAAACACTCAGCAGATCACTGTAGGCTTCAGAAAGCAGCTTCCCGCTGAATGTGGAAGCATCAGTTTGAGTGGTCTATACTATCAGACTCATCGCTTGGGGAAGGATTAAAGACTAATATGCATAGAACATAATACTCGCAGCACACCCATTCAAATCAAGTAATAAACAGAGTACGATGTTTAGGTCTGTAGTTCAGAAATAACATCAATATAATAAAAATCTTCTTTACATGTAGGATCTTAGTAAAGCACTTAAAACACACAAATCATACTATAACCCACTTGCAGATTATTTACTTTTTTCCCCAGGTACTTCTGGATTATGTTTTCAGGTGTGAGGGTTAAAAGTGATAGCCAACGTAAGGAAAAAAAAAAAGAGAGTATGTTTTAACTAGTACTAGAGTGACATTTCATTATTATAGCTATAAAAAAATAATTCTATTGATTTTTATGAGATTATATAACTTTTCATATCCTAAAAATCTTTCCCACCTTAACAGAAAAGGGGCTGATAGAGAATTAATAAGTGTACACTAGTCAGTAATACTCAAACTAGATTAACAGCCTGTCTTGTATTATTTGCACTATGAACAAGAAGGGACATAATATTACTTACTACATAAAACAGACATTGATCCAGATAGAATACTACAAAAGCTTCATTAAAACAGAGGGATGCTTGCTGTTAGTCTTTACATTAATCCATCACAAAAAGAACAGAAGTTGTACCCTACATATGCCTAAAGCAAACCTCTCTTCTTTCAATTAAATTTCTGTCTAGCATAACTTTATAGAACTATGAGGGTTCTCCTGTCCTTGATCAGAGATAGTAATTGCTGCAACCAGGAGTTCAGAATAGCAGTTGGATCATTCGTACATATTAATCAAAGGCAACAACTGGTAAAAAGATTTACCTTTAGTGAATTACTACAGCAGCCTCTTTGAACTTTTCTTTACTTTTTCTGCCATATTTATATTTTCACAGAGCACTTAATACTTAGGCAATCATGAATGGTCTAGTGCATACATCAGAGCCGCTGCTACTGCTTGCCAGTCTGCATACAGCACATGAATTCTAATGCTGATCTCTCTTATTTGAACAAAATTAAGTCCTCTGTCTTCTGCCAAAGGTTGTTTACAAATCATTTCTTTCTTCAATAACATCATACACTGCAATATAACATCCAGAAAAATAATCTGTTTTTAAGGAATTGCAATTACTATACAGGCATTAGCTTTTTAGCTATGACCAGACAGGTTTGAATTCATGCTTTCTTTTATCATGTTTTAATAAAAGTTGTTACACAATAGCAGATTTCTGTGTACAAAACCACCAGCTCTATTTTAAGAACATTTATTTTACAAAAACAAACATTTATCCCAGATCAATACCTGCCTTTTTTTCTTTTCTTTGGATCATATAACATAAGTACTGCATCTACTAAACAGACAATTAATTCTAACACTGTTCAAGGATGACAAAAAAAAAATCAATACAAAAATCAGGTGTTTTTGAAAAGTGGATTTGTCACTTTAGGACACCTCATCATTAAAATAACTCTGCTTTCCATGTGTGTTCTGCAAACAGAAATGTATACACATAGCTGTGTGTTCTACATTGCTGACAGCTGGCCAAAAAAAAAAAAAAAAGAAAAAAGTAAAAACTCTCTTATCATGGGCAGAAATCCCACTGACATTAAAGATAGTTTAAGTTAGTGGTCTATAAAAGAAAAGAAACAACCAAACTAAAAACTTACAAACATCAAGGCTTTTAAAATCATTGATCGAATATCCACTGGTTTCATTCCCCTTACCCTAATATGTTTTCTGAGACTTAAATCCTTGTCCTTGGGTAAAACATCAACATAGAGTAAAGAGCAGCTAAAAACTAACACCTGAGTCAAGTCAGCTAGATTTATTACAAATTCTGTTCACATAACAGTATGTTCTGGAAGGACTTAGCTGTTATTTAACTTATATCTTTGTTCTATCAAAGATGCTACAGTGAGAGTCAACAAAAAAGTCAAACAATTAGACAAAGAAATGACCAACATTTTAAAACATTAAGCCATACGGTCTTGTTTGATTTTAATATTCTTATTGAAGCAGTTCTTTCTTTAGTCAAGTAATGTTTAAAACTGGCAAGAAATTCTTCTCATTTTAAAGTTGCTTAAAAGAAAGGGTAGCAGGTTTTATGGCAAACAAAAAAATTAGGAGAAAGTTTCTCTGGCACATTATATCTGACTTCTAATCTAACAATGCACCTGAGGTTATGGAAGGGTGGCTTAAATTGTAACATCCTATTGCTCATCATGGGTCCTATATAAAAAACAAACAGTGCACAAAATATTTCACAAAATATTAAGTTAATAATTTTTATGTTTTACAGATAGCCTATCAAAATGCAAAATAAAAGGCTCTCAAATTCCTCTTGTAAAGCTTGAAGACTGAAATTCATTCCTTGAGAGAAGAAATAGAGACACTTGAAAATTATTCACGGAAGACCTCTCTTATGGTAACAGTGACTTCTCAAATTGCCACCACCAAAAAAAATAAATATTTGCAATGTTGACAGAGCCTTCAAACTCTAGTAGCATTCAGATGCCTCACAGAGCAAAACCACATAAGCCCCATGACACTGGCAAACAGACTGCTACCTTGTTCTTGCTGTTAGATGTCACTTATTTCTCTTATTGCCTTCTTCAGCCAAGAAATACACATTAAAAATCTTAATTCACACTAAGAATTCAGTAAATATAATAATACATTCACCCTACCATGCTTATGCATACAGAAGTTTTCATTTTCACCATGAAGGACAATTACTGACCAATCCTACATTTTGAGACTATTTGGATAATTTAATAAAGCTAGTATGTGGCTGTAGTCAGATATTAAACCGGTGCTTATAAAAGATATTGCCTCCTGATATAGTTTAGTATTTTGTACTATTCACAACAGTTAACAAAGGTCTGTCAGACTGTACTCTTAGTTAATAACCTAAAGCCAGTAAAGCCAGCTTACTATTTTGGGTGGAAAATGAGAGCGCAGAATTTGAATGCTATTAAACAAATGCAATTTTGAGTTGAAAATAATCAATGTATAAAGAGAGTCATTACCCAAATATAAATTTGGATTCTTAAAAGTAATTAAAAAAAATCCATTATGAATACTGTGTAAGCACCTCTTATTTATAAAATTAAACATCAATAGAGTAAAAGTTACTTCTCTAAATATGATACTAAAGCATACGTACAGGTACAAAATAATTTGAAATCAAAAAAACAACTCTTGCAAAAGCATATTATTATACTAATCTAATTCAAATTAGAATGGCAAATACATAAAGCAATGAAAATCAGAGCTTTAAATAGCAGAAAATATTTTTAAATTTGAGTAATAAACAATAAATTTAAACTGCAGACAATGCACATGTCACTGTCTGGAAAAACTCATCTACATTGCCATTAATTTAAGTGACTTGTTCTGAGTTTGCAACTTATGAGTGATAATTCACAAGGTTTAATCAATAAGTAGAGCTATTAGTCATATAATTTCATGTCTAGATTCTGGTGAGACCTTCTTTTTTGCTCCCACAACCATCCCTGTCATTGTGGTTATTTCATTTTTAGACATCACAAAATACACCTAGGACCTAAATTAAACAGCACAGTCAACATTTTATTAGGGAGAATGTTTAAATATTTTCTCTAATCTCACAGGGGAAAAAAACCCAAACACTTCGCACAGAAATATCCATCTTGAAAACAACAACAAAAAGTTAACAAATAGATTTTGTTTCTGAGGGCAAGGCTGAATTAAATAGTCATAGATTTTTGTCTCAGTTATTTTAAATGGAATTTAGCTGTAAGCACAGATAGCTATGCTTCAGCAGTTATTCAGTTCAGTAGAGAACAATTTGCAGGATTAGTCAATCTACATTAGCTGTGTCAACATCTGTGGGATTTGCATTGACAGCAATTCATAAATCTATCACCTGGAGTGCAAGAATACCTTCGCAAATCTATGTTATGCTAGAGTACCATTCATGCAGAATCATCACTTCCCCGCCCCCTCATTAACAAGTAGTTTTCTACTTACAACATTTAGTTCCCTTTACATTCCACTCCTACCAAAACCAAAATACAGCACTAGAATTATTAAAAAAAAAAAAATCCTTTAACTTGGCCTCTCTTTAAAAAAAGCTGTTAAAGAATGAAAGTATTTCTCAGGTGATGGTTTGTATTTTACCAGAAGTTACCAATATCTTTGGATTAAACTGCAGCAAGGAGAACCTTTCTCTACTGAAATGTGTCAGAACAGACTTGCTGTGTATTTGAAATATTATTTTACCCCCACGGTTATATTTCCTTGTCGTACACATTAGATTTCCTCATGGTGCCCAAAACAGAGACTTGAAACCTGGACCCTCCGATTAGACCAAACCAAAAATAACTGAAAAATTCTTCTGCAAAATTTATGCTTTTTTTAAAAAAAAATCTGTTTAGAAATATCGTATCCCTTTATTTTAAAGATACTTTCAAAAGTACTTTATCAACTGAGATGGTCAAGTTCAGGTCAGTGCCTTATACACATCTTACCACATAAACAAACAAGCACTGCATTCTGACTGCTATGGATTCTGAAGTTCTCATCGCATCCAATATTTTGCCACCACAAACGAAGTTAAAACTGGGATAACAATGTCCATCTTTAATCCCAAATACTTATTTTGGTGACACTGCTTGAGGGATAACTAGGTAGAAGACAGGAAGAGAAGTAGCTAGAGCTCTTTAATGTATTCAGAGCTCTATGTACATTCTATTGACAAGATGATAGTTGAACAAATTCAGATCAAAAAAGCTGTTCTACTCGTATACTCCAGAAAGACTCACAACATTCTTAGCATTAAACAACTGCCTTAAATCACCACTGCACTAAGGCAGGGGACCATCCTAGAAATATTTACTCTGTAGTTGTCTATCTGTTATTAAAAAGAGAGGCAGTCAGTAAACTACATGAATTCAATGTTTTTCCCTATTTAGGTTTCTCATGTGTCATGAATTTCATGAATCTGCACTTACAAGTTTTACAGCTTCATCTTACCTTGCAAAGAAAACTGATGTTAAAACCAAGGGACTGTGCATTTCTGGAGCCAGAGTTCATGTAGTTTCCAAGGAAGAGCACTAACTCTAAAAGCTTACTAAAGCTTTCACTCTTCTTCAACTCTTCACAAGCTAGTGTAACCGCCATAATGTCAGGTTTGATATTGTTTACGTGCTCTTCAAACATAAGCTTGAAAAGGATCCCATTAAGCCGTGACCGCAACATTTTCACTGAACTCATCTACAAAATAAAAAACATTAAATCAGAAGAAAAAAAAACCCAAAAGCTTATTTATGCAAAATAGCTTATATTAAAACACAATATTGTGCAACCAGCAAGACTACAGTTTCTGTATGTTTTCATTGCCTATCTTATATTTCCAGGAATCCGTACCTGCCCACAGGTATTTTTCCCCAAACCGTACACTTTGCCTGAAAAAAATTCAGTGAAGCAAAACATTGAAAACAAGCAAGTCCTTTGTGTTACTAAACCATTTAACTCGTGAATTCCAAACTCACTGGCAAGAAATGCACACTGCCAAAACTCTTCCTCCCAGCAAAGGGCATGTAAGCCAATTCTACCAGTTAACAAGAATCGAAGGTCAGCCTGAAGGTTCACGTGGCAAACATTTCATCGCCTCTCCAGTGAAGTTACCCTTGAACTCTGCTATTTACCTATTTCCTAAAACTAAGCTTCTTGGTTTTTCTTCCTTCAGGAATGGTACAACAATCTCAAGTGTGTGTGCTGATACCAGCACAAATGCAAACAGCTACACTTCAGTCTGATTAAGCTAAAGATTTATACCTTCCATTTTTAGACTCTTTTACCAAGCTGACGCATAGCTCTCGACTGTGGCTCCTGAGAGACCATGAATTCTGAGAGGCCCTTGTGGAAGGACTTGGGAATATCTAAGTGAGTTTGAGACACACGAGATCAAGCTTCACTAGTCAGATATTTCTATAAAGCCAAGGTCACATTCATACCATTGTTGATGAAGTATTTTCTGCCATTGTACTGATGTGAGCTGTTAATTGTGGTATTTACAGATGACATCAGTGCTACATCTAACAAGGTGTTTACTTTTACAGTCTTTAATTAAAATGAAACCCAAATTGGGTTTTGTTCAGTTATTATCTAGACTTATAGCAAGTTATAAAATAATATGAATCCTATCAGTATTGTTAGTTACCAAATAAGCTAAAAGGTATTTTAAAGATACACTATAATCTATTCGATCCTAAGACTTTTCAAGTTCACACAACCATCAAGTCCCAGTCTGTGTATCCCAAAGAATAATCAGATTCTGGAAGTGAATAAAGAGGTTTTAGGTGAAACTGAATTTATATAAAAACCAATATACCTAGAGATACTAAAGTAAGGATATACTTCCAGTATACTTTTTCAGTTGTGATCCCATGACATCATGTCTTGTAGGCAACATACTGCTTGCTTTTTAACCTCTTGTCTTTTCTGCCCTTTAAACAAATTTTGTAAAACTACTGCCCAAGATATTATCACCTTTATGTTCAGACTCTTTGCAGAGGTAGTACAATACTCATTCCTTCCCAACCTGATAAAAAGATGGCAGGTTATAAATCACAGCATGGTAACATGGTAAATGACAGAGATACTGAAAAATATCTACAATAGTGATTCATTAGTTTAAATCCCCAAGACCAATGTCATTATGCTAGCTACCAAAATATGTCCACGACTTTCATATTTTGCACAAGTGATCAATAATATTTCCTCCTACTTAGCAGCAGAGTGTAATTCACAAGAGATATTTAAATTTAAGAAGAAAAGACATACTGAAAATTTTTAATCCATTTAAAAATTTTCATTTCAATGCAAGAATGGTTACCTCCTAAATCTAACTCCTAATTTTAATTATCAGAATACAGAAAGATTTCTCTCCCAAGGTATTCACTATTAGTGGTGTTCCTGAAGCACTTTGTCCCCCTGAAAGAAAAGTTTTGTTATATGACAAATTACAGATCTTAGCTATCAAAACAGAAAGATTTTTATGTGCTCCTGTCCCTGTTGCCCAAAGCTTTACCATGGCTCCTTAAGGAACCATGATTTTTCTATTGGTGTTACACACCACAGACAGCTACCAGGACCAGCAACAATAACTTCCACAGGAAAGACTTGAATAATGATGAATTCATACTAAAATGAACATAAATATGAAGGCACTCCAGAAGGTCTCAAACAATTCACGTGATCAGACTGGAACAAGGAAAAGGAAAGGATCAGAAAATAAGTGTTTCAGCATAACTTGCAATCTTTTTTTATGCAACTCCATTGTCACAAACTTCTCTGTGAGCCTCTTTAAGCCAACATCATGCAAAATCCTGAAATATTCTTCTAATCATTCTGTATTTGAGAAATATCATACTGAAAACATCTGCCTTGAAAGGATCTACCTTCGCTGAGCTGCAGTAGATGGAATTAAAATTAATCACGTAATTTGTTTTAACTTTTGTAGAACAATCTCCAATTACTGATTTTACTCAAAATTGCACAAAAAGCTTGTCAAAAGCTTTAGATCCTGAAAACGAAGTGCAGCAAAACACATATAAACCAACAGAACAGCATGACTGAAATACTTGTGAAGTATAATCCTTTATAATACTTCAGCCAATTTGTACTTTCTTTTTTTAATGCTTTGAGGTGTCATGGAACACTGACCATTTATTTGTTTTGCAAGGTAGTTTGATCCCAAACCAGTAGTAAGTTTTAATTTAATTTGCTGATCTGTATAATATTTAAGAAGCATCTTGACAATAAGAGCTGTTTCAGGTGGGTTGTTTCCTTAGAATTCAAACCATTTTTATATACATTATTCTCTTTATGTCCCCACCCTGCCCCGTTTTCTCTTTCATATGCATGTTTCCAAAAACGTATCTTCAATGGTTGATGAACATATTGAACTTAAAGGAATCTTCTGAAAACAGGCAAAGTGCAAAAATTGTATTCACTGAGAAAAAGGTCAAACTGTTTCTAGTTCTAAAAAATTAGCGTCAAAGGCATATAAGAAACAACACATTCAAATAGGTGCATGTAACAGCAAGCATTAGCTTTCACCACAAACAGTTAAAGCAGCAAGAAAACTGGGAATTTGTTTTCCAGCTGTGAGCACTGAACTGCGTGTCATTATTTCCCCTTCTGAGCTTTCATAAAGGTCCTTGTCTGAATTCTCTACCTAATCAAGTTCTTTACTTTTTTATTATCATCATTCAATTCTCAAGCCCTGTATTAAAACTAGGATCAAAGGTTATTGGAGAAAGAGGCAAAAAGCACAATTAAATTTGCCTCATTTCTTAAGGAAAAAAGCTGACATTCCTATAATACAAATTTGTCAACTTAGCCTCTTACCTATAATATATTAAACAGTTAACTTCTTTTTTCTAGCAACGTTCTATAAAGATTAATTTTTCAGCAGCTCTAGAAATTGCAATGAGGCAAAACAAGTGGCAAATAAATTCAATTAAAATGACTGAATGACTCTAAACTAATGCAGGTGCAATAAACTTGTACAGTTCTTCCCACTTCATCTACCTCCCAGCAAGGACTGTTCAGGAGAGGTAATCCAGGTTATACAGCAAAAAGGGTCACAGAATCTGCATCTACTCAGTGAAACTTACCCTCTTGCATTAACAATGAAATTACTGATAACTCAGCTGAAGGCATTTTTGCATTCATTAGAAACCAGCAAAAAACCACCAAAACCCAACCCTTCCACTTTTCCAGAACACACACCAGAAAGGGAATTCTTTGGTCAGTTCCAGGCACTTGTTTTGTTGGTTCACTAAAAAGATATTAACTAAGATTTACACCACATAATTGTGGGGTGATCTTTTTAAAAGTGGTAATGTTCTTCTTAACTTCAAAACTCACAGTTGGTGGTAAAGTGGATAAAGTTTTTTTGAGTTTAAGTACCACTAACACCGCAAAAGATTTTATTATTTTGTTTTTTTTAGCCTGTCCTGAGTTGACAGGAAATAGTGGGTAGTCACACTTTATAGCACAGATGAACCTTATGCTTTTATAATACTTAAACTGTTCAACTGGTACCAAAATTGAAAGCAAGTATCCTTATTGAAGTTGCAGCTCTTCCCAGAACATTAAAAAAAAAATAAAATTAACTCTTACCCACAAGTTTCACATTTAAAAATCAGAGAACATTCTGCCTAGCTTTTTTAATGTTATACAACTGATTCAGTTAATCTGTTTTTCTTGCTCTGCTTCAATATCACTGCAAACTGTTCTTTATATGAAGTTATATTGCCTTTTTTGATTCCAGGATATAACTTCGAAAACAGATCCAATAACTAATTTGACTATATAATTGATTTTAACTTTTCATCTAAAGGAAAACTCAATTCTAATTTTCATTGACATAGCTGAGTATTAAGTTAATTGATTTCTTCTAATAAGTTAATAATTTGCTAAGTATAGTTTTTCTACACACATTTTAAGCAACTTATTGCAATCTTTATTAAACTGATGGGCACAGTGATTATCCAATTAACATCTAATAATTAACATATCTAAATTTACATACAAATAAGGGTACACATTTTAAATACTATTTAACAGTCTTGCTGTCTTCTTCTATTCCTAAACATATTCGTAACATCAAGGTTAGGATTGTTAATGCAAAACTCTGAAATTAATTCGACACATAGCGAAAAAGGACTCAAGTCAAGTAAAGAGCTTAAGTTCAGCTGCATTTCTTCCACTTTAATGGATTGTTCAATTAAATCAAAATTGGAAATGAAATCAGCATTTTTTGTAGTATTAATGCACTTAGAGGCCTCTAAAAATAAGACAGAATCACTCCCCATAAGGAAATGTAATATTTTTTATTAGACCAGATGGTAAAGTTGAATAAGCAAACAAGCTTCAGGAAACACAGTCCCTTCATACGGCAAACATCACCATTTGGAGATGTTTGATTAAGCAGTTTTTTCTAATTAATGTTCCATTAAATACTTTTAAATTCTTGACCAACTGCAAAAGTTGAGAATTCCTGAAAGGAATGAATCGACGAAAAAGTGATCACGACTATATTAGTACTGTCAGAAAATAAGGATACTTTTATGACTTGTTCAATACAATCGAGTGAAAAAAACAAGGACCATTTACTTTCAATCGTAATAATCATAAATCAAATAAATGCATGATCCCCGGGTATGTAAGACAACCAATAGAGATGATAGAGCTTCCCAAGTGACTTTCATTTATAATTGTATAATTTTCTGGGAAACAAACTGCCAGCAGAATCAGAATGATTACAAGAAGGAAACAAATCATACTACACTATAAAAAGAATGAGGAAAAAAGAGTTAAGTAGCAGACCTGATAGACATCTGATAAAGAAAAAAAAACCAAACACAAACAAACTATCCAACAGTGGCAAAAACTCAAGGCTACTCCTCTCCACTCAAGTGGTTTTCAGATATCTATCAGTAAAACAAATTGACATGGATTCAAGCTCTGGTAAAAAGTGTACTAAAAACACTTACTATCTACACATACTTAACTAATTGTATATTGGCAACTTCATTAAATGCTTCTGGTTTACCACTACATAAGCCAAAGAACTATTCTTCCTAACCTGCAGTCTTCTGAATTGGAGGTAAATAATTTTCCAATAACGAGAACAAAAACATTCTCCAAGTGTTCTCATATACTTAAGTTTTGTAGGATCTCAGTACAATGATAGAAAACTTAATTTTTGCACTGTCATTCACTCATCGTGCAGCCAATTCACATGCAAACAGTCAAACTAGAGCATCAGTTACATTCTTTCACTTATCAAATTCACACTCATCCAACCAAGAAGCAGCTGAATTCGTAGCAAAGAGTTAAAGAGATTTATTATTTGCAGGTTTTCTTTACTTTAGGAGAAAGATTTCCACTGTCTTGGATCAGCCTTTTGATTATCTATAATAATTACACCTGAAATTGATTTTCAGTCTTTCATTTCCAGCATCATATACCCAAAATGAAAAGGCCATTAGTCAACTATGACCAAATTGGCACAAAATGCAAAACCTGATCCTGCCTGTCCTAGGCCCCGCCAAAATTTCAGACTAGGTGATTAACAACGTTGCAGACATAAATGAGTGTCTCTCATAATACCTTCTGCACAGAGGTAAAACTGGGGAAATAACTTGATCTACAAAAAAACAGCCAGCACATCATCTCTACATACGTGGCTAGATATAGTTACCCCAATTCTTAAAAACCACATGCTTCTATGAAAATCTAGGCATAATTTATTAAAAAATAAAATCAATACCCTAAAGTTTGTCAGAGAAGTCATTGATATCTTTAATTATCTAAATCCTCTACAAAAATCTCACTAGGTGAAATTATGTATGTGTGCGTGTGCGTCAAAAAGCCCTCCACACTCAAAAGGCACTTCTGAAGCCAAATTATGCTCAAATCCAGAGCTTTTTA